AAATAACTCGTTTAGTTATAAGGCCGTTACTTATTAAATAAAGTAGTTAAATTAATATTAAATAAACGAGGCCGTATTACTAACTAAAAAATAAAATAAAAGAATATTATTTACTTTTTACGGGCTTATTATTAAAACTAAGGGAGCTATTACTCTTTTTTAAAACTATAGCCTCGTATTTATATTTCTTAATCTCTCGCACTATAATAATACGAATATAGTTTTTAACTATTTATTTTAATAATATTTAAATAAAAACGATATTATTAATAAAAATCTTTTTTTAATAATACGTATATATAAAAATACGGGTATAAAAATAAAAAATAAAGGTATATATATATAATAGTAATATAAATATAAGTTAAAAAGAGAAGGAAAATCGGTATTATAAATAATAATAAGAAATTTATATATTTACTATCCTTAACCCGTAAGTTAATTATTTAGCTAATAAAAAGCCGTTTATTAATCGTACCTTTTATTAATAATATAGCCTTAAAATTACTTATAGTAACGAATATAGAGGTTAATTTATAACCGATTTACCCCTTATTTATAACTCTATACGCAGACCGATTTACTTTATAATTCTTTTTATAAATAAATTCTTATATATTAATATTTAGTTTTTTACTTTTAATAAACCTTTTTATAATAATACGGGTAATTAAGTACGCTTTTTTTAAATATATATTTATTTAGGGGGGTATATTATAATAGCTTTAATTATTTATAGCTTTATTATACGTTACGTAACCTCGGTTATATAATTACTAAGGCTTATTTCGCTTTTACCCTCTATATTAGGGCGAGCTTCGTACTTATTTCTTATTTCTAATAAATAACCGTTCTCTTTATATACGTCGATGCCCCTATAGTGACTCTACGATAGTTATGAGCCCTTTGCCTCTACTAGTTATTGTGTAACTTTGGAAAGTCTAGCTTACGTAAGTACTATACTAAGGGTTGCGGGTTCGAATCCTGTCTAATTAAATCTTTTCTTAGGTACAAAAGTGCGTTAGACGCCTACTAAGCAGCTGATAGTGGGTAAGTCCCCAGTTCGCGAGCGACTAGCAGATGTCCAGCTAGCTGAGCTGTAAATCTGGGGGGGGTGTGTGGTAAATAAGGCGTAATTGCTGGCCGGCAATTACGGTTCCGTTTTTGTACGACAATATGTCATTTGGTGAATTCGGAGCCGGGACTTCTGCAGATATGCTGTTTTTGAGTGAAAGTCCATGGTCGAGAAAGTGGAGTCCAGAGTAAATGCCAGCCCACCTATGTTACTGAGAATAACGTGCAGCTTTACTTACCTAAGACAAGCTGCTATTCATCCCTGTAACTTCTGGAGTGCTGCCTAGAATGGCTTACTCCCGCTCTATGCGGAGTACATTGGCAAGCCTACGCTATTTGTGCCTGTTTCACGGCTTGTTCTGGGTTCACGTTCTATAACGTGTTATCTTTCGCGCTACGCCTTAGGAAATCATGGCTTCAAGAAAATTTCACTGTTTCTTGTCTCTGCCCTTTGAGATTCGGCGAGAAATCTACTGGCTCGTCACCCTGCCACGCATCGTGAACGTTGAGGAAAAGACGGTGGTCGACTTTGACGAGTTCAAGGAGATTCTCCGCACAGATCCGGTCCAGCTTCAGATCCACCCTGATATCAAGTTCTTCAGCATCAACTGGGCTGCTGAAATTCAACACCGTATAAGAGATGGACGTAGCCTCCGCCAAACGACCCTAGAGGAGCACGGCTTCACCGGCAGCAAACCGATCCCACAACCTTGGACTCCGTCCGCTCGGTGTCCAGAAATACCCCTCGCATGGCTAGCCAACGATCCAAAGGTGGCGTGGGAGATCATGAGAGAGGGCTACTTATACAGCAAGGCCCCGATACCACCTCTACTGCACACCTGCGCCGAGTCTCGCGGCGTGCTCATACGGGGCGGCTACCGCTTGGCCTTTGCGACGCGGACAGCCGGACCACGAACGTGGTTCCACTTTGATAGAGATACTCTCTTCCTCTCACAGGCCGCCTACGAGGAAGAGGACCGTCCCGAGTTGTTGAGCGGGGGCCCGTGGGACGTGGGCCAGTTCACAGCGGCGGACCTGCGACAAGTGCGCAGGCTCGCGCTGGAGGGTTCAGCGCTTGTGCTGAACGGCGCGGATAGGGCGGCGCCATGGCAGAGCGTGCCGGCGACCGCGTCGGTGGCCGTCTCTGTTTTGCTGAGGCTGTTGGGGTCTGTAGAAGAGCTTTGGTTTGTGGAGTGGACGCGGCGTGATGTGGAGCGTTGGAGCGTGTTTCACCCCTGTTCCCCGTCGCCGCGGTGGCATTGGGAGGTTCCGCCGGTGGTGGACGGCAGTGCTGTTGATGCGGCGAGAAGAAGTGGTGATTTTGTGGCGGTGGATGTTGAGCTTGTTGATATGACTGGGCCGGGTCGCCTGTGTGACGGAGCGCTTGGGGGCGAGTTTCTTCAGTCCGGGTTCGGGGAGTTGCATTTTGTGAAATATATGGAGGACCGCCGAGAATCCGGGGCCGGGGCTGGGGCCGAGTCGGACGCGGCATCTTATAGTGGGTATCTGCGACGGCTTCGACAGGTATTTCTCGAGCATCAGATGGCTGGGATTCTTGCCAAGGAACAGCACCGCGAAGAGGTGCTGAGGACGGACGATGGCATTGATCCGGGGTGTTGGAAGATACCAGAGACAAAACTTGTCCACGTCCTGCCGCAAAATTTGGTCCAGTATCTCTACGAGGAGCGCCAAAAGGTCGTGGTGGGGTTGGAAGCATTGCAGACGGAATGGGCTTACTTGACGAAGCAGAAGGTTTGCTCGGTGGGTATGGGCGGTGAAGCTCTGCGCGTAAATCCTGCCGTTTCCGAAAGGCAAGCATTCGAGGACAAGCATTGGCCTCCGGATGACTGTCCGCACGAGGAATGTCAAGGAACGTGTTATCTCAGCAGCGTGGCGGATAGAATCAAGAAGTGGTGGGTGCAACATGGGCCAAGTCTGTGACGCTCCTGGCCAGTTCACTTACGTGAATTCCGTAGTACGTCTAAAAGAAGGCATAAAGAAGGGAAAGTACCTGGAGTGCAACTTTAGAATTGGTGCGTCCAAGGGAACTTCCTGAGCTCTTGTCACTCTGACGAAGTCTGCGAGATGCGAAGCGCGTATGTGAAAGAAACTTCTCAGACTCTATCTTTAGGTATTGACCAAATCCACCTTCTACAGTCAACAACACAGTCAGGGCACGAGTTTGTTAACTCTCAACCCTTCTTGGAGAGGAAAGGTTAGCTTGATACTAGACTCTATGTGGCTCCATGTCCCCGCGTCTAGGTGGTTCGTGACCCAACTGTCGAGCTCGGGACGCTTTGCATATAAGAGTTCAAACAGTCTGGTAATTCTGTTCTGCTGCAGAGCCCCCATTGAGTTTCTTGGCATGCGTTGTGCGGCAGTCTGTGGGTTAGAACGGGCGAGGCGGATTTTGCCTTTCCAGCTCTAAGACCCCAACCTTTCGGATCGCGGTGTTGTCATTGGGGAGAAGTCTGTTACATCACTCAGATCTGCCTTCTATTGGACCAGTAGAGAAGCTGACCAGACCGGAGTTGCGTGCACAGTGAGATGGGTAAATTCGTTGCAGAAGCCGCGCCGAATCATAAGTGTCAAAGCGGCACTCCCAGCTGAAAGTTGAACGGCAAGGCAGTCCATCGATTCAACCGCTCATCAGATGACGGCAGTGTTCAACAGCTCCTGCGATCTATTATTTTGGGGAGTCCGGTACGTACTCAATAGCTGCAATTCTCGTTCCTTCTTTTTTTCCTTTTTTTCTTTTCTCAAAAACAAAAAGCGTTTCCGAAAGCAAAGAGGGGACGAAGCCAAGTTGATAATTATTCCAACAAATAGCCAAGGAATATGAGAAGAAACCTAAGGCTGATAAGCGAGCCAAGCAACAGGACCCATTTAGAAATTGGCAGACGCTCGGTAGAGGCCGTCGTCGTGGAAATAACGGCGTGGCATTCGGGGGGATAGTCTGCACATGGTACGCAAGATGGCATATCCATAATTGATCTGGTGGGTTGGGAGATGGGCAGGGAATTTATGACATCAGCCCTCGCAGGAAGGTTGACTTCGTTGGGGTATGAGGGAGATTCCCCTCTGTCTCGAACCTCAGATCGACCTTGATCTGACTTCGCCTTCTCACCTGTGCCACCGCACCCAAGGAGCCCTCCGGCTTCGACTAAAGGAGGAAAGACTGAGGTCATCCCAAGGTCTACCGTGCTTCATGTTCCCAGCTAGGACCAGGTTCCGAAAACTTGTGTGCCCACGTGCCGTGTTCGCTTGCGAAATATCAACCCCAAATGCAGCACCTGGGCAGGTTTCTGGAACCGCTATTGGGGATTTGATTGGCTTCCAAGGTATACTTGGCCGACACCCTAGATCGACAACGCATGGACTCAGGAGACGGCACTCATTTCGGAGGTCCAACTCCTCGACGCAAGTACGCTACAATTACCGTCGGCAAGGAGACAAATAGCCATCGCCAAGCTTGGAGCGCATGTTTGTCATGACTTGAGCTGGCCCGGGTTCCGCCTTGTTTATGGGGCTCACCAGAGCAGAGAAAGGTTGTGGGTGCAACCACCTCTAAAAGCTCACCTGTTTCAGCGGCCCAGATGAGCAAGATCTGGGCTATCATAAACTTGGCTTTGAGGGTGTAGGCTTCCCGAGACGGGGATGGCTAGACTACGTGGCAACCCCTTGGCGGTATGACGGCGGGGAACAGTCCTAGTCGCGTAGCTTATTCGCTTCCTTATCCCTCCCTGGTATTATTGTAAGTCGGCTCACGCAAATGACATGGATGAGCTACTGGCTTCTGATGGCACTTGGCCGCTTGGCGGCCGTCTTTATTAGGTGGACGGAAGGGGCTGCCGCTAATTTTCCATTCACGAATCTTCCTACAAAGATTCTCACACTCAATCATCACAGCGTATCGACGTTTGTCGATGACAGGTCGCAGTTGGAGCCCCGTTGGGGCTCGTCGGAGGGGACTGAAGTCGTTCACCGCGCGGATGACACTTCGGTTCCTTGTAATTGCTTCCATCGTCGCCATGTATCATTTGTTGGACCTTCATTTCCGCTATCGAGAGGACCTGAAAGTCAAGTATCTCCCGACAAAGTTCGCACCCCTTGCGGATCACGACGAGGCAATACTTTCAAGCACCGGATGGGAAGTCAATTCCGATACCACAAGTGCTGCACGTGGCATCTTACTGGACAACCGGCGCCATTGGAAGAAGCTTGGAAAAGGCAGAGAGGGTGAAACGTTCACGTTTAACAATACTGTCATCAAAGTCTACAATGAGGAAACCAGTCCTTTTCGAAATTGCATTCAAGGAACAGACGCGTCTGCGAGAAGATGGCCCACAGAGATCCCTGCGAGTCTGATCATGGGCGGACACGATGACGGCTCGACATTGCTGGACGATGAGCGATACAGAGAACACTTCGTCCCTGTCCAAGACTACTTCTTAGCTGCCACGGAACCGTCAGGGGCTCCAAAGTGGCACCTTGTCTCGCCGTTTCTCAAGTCAGGCACCCTCAAAAACCTGGCAAAGAAGTTGCGTAGGTCTGGCGACCGACACTCGTATCGTGAGCTTGATCAAATGTTTAGACCATCTTTCGAGTCTCTTCTCTCAGCACTCGATAGCTTACACATGACGCACGACCTGTGTCACGACGACGTCAAGCTAGACAACATCTTCGTAACATCCGAGCACGATCCTAGAAAGTGGAAATTCGGCGACCTCGGCAACGCCCGCGAGCCCGATCACCCATATCACTACACGCCGCTGTGGACTGCGGACACGCCTCAGCTTCGCGACTGTCGCGCCAACGATGCGCTGCGCCTGACGAAGGTGTACTTCCAATTCCTTCGCGCCTCGAGCGGGAACCCCGACGCGTTTGATGAAGCTTTGATCGGCGGCGTTGATACACTGAGCAGATTCTACTGGGTGGTTGCCCGCTCCCCGATGCCAGTCTCGGCGGCGCAAGTTTGGCAGCTCTCGGCTGTTTACCCACCCCAAATGGTTGGTGAGAAGACGCCGTGGATGACGATGCAGCCTGCGCAAGTTGACTTTTCCCGCGGCTGGGCGCCAACGACCGAGGCCTTCCTTGGTTGGAAGGGGTCCTTGAGAAGTGCCGTGAAAAAGGAGCTGAGGGTTGGAGCCAAGGAGAGCATGGGTAGACTTTTCGGGTTGACCAGATTGTTGGGAATCCCAGTCAAAGCTTGTCAGGCTGCCTAAGACCTCGAAATTGAATCTTATTAACCGGCTAAAGAGTTGAAGTAGGCTTTGCGTCAAAATGGACGCCGGAGTCTAGAGCAGATACCCGTTATCGAAGAGAACAAAGATCGACTGAATGCAAAATTCCTTTCCTCCATTGAACCTGAAGCAGCAGAATGCTGTCTACATCCAAGGCTGCCGTGATAGAGTAACACTGTCTCAATTCAGTGCTAGCAAGACGCTTGTCAATTTCCGACCAAATGTTGAGGGCCGTCCTCTCAGGCATGCTGATTGGTATACCTCGTTCTAGAGGTGAATGGCCCACCTTTCTTTGTAAAGCTTTGGAAAAAGCTTTGGAAAGGTCGGCCGAAATGACTGAAAACAGTACCATATTGAACCTGGGCGAATCATCAGTAAACGTAACCTCTCAATCTAATCTACATGCACTCCTAGTGCTTAGTCCCATCAATAGATGTTGGACCCGGGGCCTGGGCCCGTGAAACCTTTCAGTGTAAGTAGACGGATGGATGGGCTCCCTTTCCCCACCTTGCTTTCTGGTTTGGGCGAGCTCGGCCGACGACGACTAAAGTATTCGACGACCCATTCGGTCTCTCTCACGAAGCCGAGTTTCGCAATATTATAAAATGAGCCTCTAATCTTCCAGGAGGACTGAAACTTGCTACTGGAAGCCACGACTTCATGGCTCTCTCATTTTAGATGAGCCAGGGTGATCTCACATAACTTTCGGGTACCGTACCAAGCACAGACACGAAGGCACAGCTTGACGACATCACAATGTCTTCCTTAGGCGACCAAAAGAAAACACCGCTCGATGCTATCGTCCAGGGCAGCACCATGCAAGCAATGCCTACGTTCTCCGACGTTTCCGACAAGCGCGCCTTCATGCTGGATCACATGGCACATGCCTTCCACGTATTTGCGCGCAGAGGCTACAGCGAGGGAATGGCCGGGCATATTTCCGTTCGGGATCCAGAGTTCCCCGACAGATTTTGGCTCAATCCGTAAGAAGACTCTTCCACTGGATTATCAAGATATGATTGCAAGGCTGATCTATCTTCATAGCCTCGGCGTTCACTTTGCGTTGCTAACCCCTGGCGACATGGCGTTGGTGAACGAACAGGGAGAAGTCATTGGAGGAAACAAATCGCGTCCAGTGAACGCGGCAGGGTTCCTCATTCACTCTGCGATCCACAGAGCCCGTCCTGATGTTGTTGCCGCGTGCCACTGTCACACTAGGTTCGGAAAAGCTTGGTCGGCATTTGGACGCCCCTTTGAGATGTTAAATGGAGACGCCGCTATGTTTTATGGAGATGCTCAAGCTGTGCTAACCAGCTATGGCGGCCTGGTCTTTGAAGAAAGCTTGAGTGATCCTGTGGCATCGGCATTGGGTCTAAATGGGAGAGGGTTGATCATGCAAAACCACGGCTTGCTCACCGTCGGCCAGAGTGTTGACGAGGCCGCTTATCTCTTTACACTGATGGAACGTTGTTGTGAGATACAGCTACTAGTGGAAGCGGCTGCAAAGGACGGCCTCGAGAAGCAATGCATCGATGATGCTACAGCCAAGCACACTTTCGAGACAAGTAGCGATTCGGTGAGTGAGAGTGCCCTCCTTGAAAGCCAAACGATTATTCATTGACTCTATTGAACTAGGATTCGCTGTACTGCGAGTTTCAGCCGGAGATCCAGAATGAAATATTTTTGCGAAGACTCAAATTTGGATCAGAAAGTCACGGAGAGTAAATGGATAGATCAAATACTAAGAAGGAGGTATGGAGCATGGAAACGAAGAGCCTAGGTCTTGAGAATATGTATTACGACAAAACGAGACACGTATATGATGATCTCATCACTTCTCTCCAGCTTTGATCGAACGTGTCCAACCCCATCCTTGATTCCCACACGCAAGGAAGAAACTCCGATGCAGCTCTAAAGTTACCAGTGCCGCTCTTTCGGGCAATTCGTGAGAGAAATTGAGCTATGTTTTGTCTCGAAGAGGCTCCTTCAGCTTCACATCCAGCGATAAAGGCAGCCCAGCACACCCCCGCTACAGCCAAGTTGCCGCGCTCTTCAGCATCTCTCTCGTAATCGAGAAGATGCCTCAACGCTTTCTCGACAAGATGCTGAACTGAAGTTGGGTTGACATGACGAACTTCTCGATAGAAGTATATCTCCACTGCTGCATAAATTGCTTCTCTCGCATTATCGAAGGCAGCTTCTTGCTGATCTTCGACATCTTGCCTCTGATGTGGGGCATTTGTGGCGTGCCCTTCGAAAGTCCATGCGCAAAGGTCATGCTCTAGTATTCGAATGAGGTCGACGATTCCAGGAGTCTCAAGTCCGGTCGAAGCATCGCTAAGAACGTTTATCAGATGGGTTGTACGTGATATGAGACTGACAAGAGACTCGGGTAGTCCAAAAATACCCTCAAAGGTTGTGGTCGTACACAGATTTTGTTGAGCCTCCTGAGTGTTTGGAACATTCGTGGTGTATGGATTCAAATGTCTGGGATCGTGGTTCTTCATGAAAACTCTACTTCTTAAAGATGGAAACTTGACGTCGAAATGTGCATTTGGAGGTTCATCCATATATAAATCTGGTAGCCGTAAACTAGGACTGGTGCAGTGGGCGGGTGTCTTCATCTCTGGGTAAATGTGTGTTGTCTCCTCAAAGACTCGGGTATATTGAAGCATGTTGCGGAGAACTTTTGCCTCTCGGCTTTGAAGGGGTTCGACCGCACATGGCTCTTCCATAAGGCGCTCAGCTGCGAGGAGGAATGCCCTGGCTTCGTTGAACTTGCCGCTCATGACCTTGATTAAGTACGTTAGTCTCAGCACAAAGGGTAGTGGAAGTTCAAAACACACTGATATTGTATTCATACTCATCGTCGCCATCACAAACTCGTTCAATTGGCTCGGCCACAAGTCTTCTGCACAAGGCAATCTACCGAGCGATAATTGCTCCCTAGCAGTTTGAGAAAACTCGGCGGCTGCAAGACCCCAGAAACCGGCGACCTCCTCGTTGGTATTAGAGGAGGCCTCTAGGTTGTATGCACAGACCGATAAGATTCCATACAGCAAAGATGTTTTTACGGGATCTGTACTGCCCCAGATGCTTATCTCTGATACAGCCTGCAAGGCGCTGGGCAGGTGCAGAAATTTCCAGGGTGGACAGCGGTTGCGTTTTGGAGTAAAAGAATCCAGCATGCTTGATTTGTAGTGATCAAGTAAGAAGAACGTCGTTTCCGGTAGGGAGCTGGTAAAAGTCTTTGGACCTGTCAGAATCAAGTCGAAATCATGTACCAAAGGGAAGGCTCCGGCGTTGACTATTGCAGCGACTCCAGGTGAAGGTACGACCGAGCCGGGAAGCAACTCTTGGAGAGAATCATTGGTTTCGGAGTCCAAGACAAGTAACTCGCTCAACTGCTCGGTTGTATCTGACTGTAGCGTAGTGTGGCCAATGTCCTGGTCAGTGACTATAACTTCTTCCACTGTGACTCTGTAAGCCGGTGATAATCAAGGAAGCCACTAGCGAGGGATAATTCGTGGCTCTTAATGACTACCCCTTATAGGAAGACGCACCATGATCGAGGAGTCTGGCGTCTGAACTCATATTGAAGTCCAAGTCCTTGGGCGTCTGAACCCCATTATTTAACTGAGTATCCTTAGGAACAATAACAGAGAAAGCTCCAATAGAGGACGTCATGGGATTTTCTTCATTGGATATTTCTTCGAGTTGATGGCAAATCATATCGACTTCGATCCGATTTCTTGTTTTTTGAATGAGCTCGGATGTGGCAATTAGTTCCTCAACTAATTAATATTAGCTAATTTCTCATGTGGTGACAATAATGACATATGCTGGTAGAGATGGCTTGATGTTGAATAATCGCATTGGTACCATGTAGAGCCTGGATTAGAGAAGAAACAAACATCCGATTTTACCTTATGTAGATTATGAGCCACGCATGTCTACGCACCTGTGAAGTAATTTTGTCTCTTTCGATGCGAAATGTTCTCCTGTAGCGAGCTTATGTTCCAAGGTGAGATATCACTTCCCACACTGGGCTGATCAGGTTCTGGCCAAGTCAGCATCCTTTCAGAGATCACCCTTTGGCACATCAATCCTAGACGACTGCACGCTGAGCAAGTAGGGAGACCTGCGTCGCAGCGCACCTTTCGTCTCCGACATGTCAAGCATCTTGCCATTGCGTTACAGTAACCGAACAGAATTAGGTCCCAAAACGACATAACATCATCGAATGTTCCGAAGACAACAGGAAGACTTTCCACCTATTGCTAGCTTAAACTAATATAGTTTAGCGGGAGATTGTGGGTGACTCACATGGAAATGACTCATCGGATGCTAAATCCGAAATCAGTTGTTGAAAGAATAAGGTACCTTCATTCAATTCATTCAAACAAACTAATTCAAGGGACTGATAAGTCATGAACATGGGATAAGAGGATTAGTCTTAGGGTGGTTACTTTCGAACAGCAACCCGGACTTCTTTGGTGGTTAGCTGATTGGTAGGTACGTGACTAAAGCTCTGGGTATCTTCAAGTTCTTCAAGCTGCCACTGGCCGTTCAATGTTTTGGATCTGGAACTACTTCTACCAAGACAGAGTTAAGATTTCAAGGCTAACGAAAGCTGAGGAGCACAAGCCTCCTCTGCTGTGGCGGTTCCTTTGGCCGGGGCTGCTTATCGTATAAAAGGTGTATTTAGGTAGTTTAAAGGTATGCCACACAGCAAAATGTTCCATCAAGTGCTAGAGGGCGTCAATACCTACACGAGTACTTTTATAAAGGGTAAAAACAAATCGCGTAATAATCCAAATCTTTTCCCTCCTAATCGTCTGGATAGCTTCGCAGTGAAAATGACTGGAGAAAGACTAGAGACGGTTGTATTGCTAGCAATCAGCTAGTGATATGGTAACAAGTTCACAACCCTGCCCGGGGAAGCTAACTTGTAAGAATGTAATCGTACGAAGTGTCTTGGACGCTTTTACAGCCCTGTAATTTTACTACAGACATCTACAAATCATCGCTCGCTGGCTACAAGTCTTCGCTTAACCAAGGTTTCACAAGTACCAGTAGAGCTGCTTTACATCACCTCTACCTAGCCTCATGAAAATTATCGCCCTATGAAACTGCCCTGCCGAGGGCTGGGCTCTGCTCATTAAGCTCGGGAAAACCTTGTCACAAGTCATTCGTATCACGTTTGAAAGCGGCTCGGTAGAAGCTGCCGCAGATTAGAGGTCACTTACCATTCAAGGTTTGATCAAAGCTCTTTGAATACCTTATTTTCTACTCGAGTGGCTGTGTGTACGATGATCCGTGCTTAGAATGGGCTTGATGATCACATGGACCTCAGCGGTCAGTGACATTGTAGATCATCAAACCAAGCGCTCGTTGATTCAGGGCAATCTGCTGTGGCGCATGCAAATTGGCCAATTCTAACACGTAAGAGTCGTGGTAATGGAGATGACAATCAATTCCTCTCGGAAGCAGCTGTAAACGGGGAAGATGACATGCCGCTAGTCTAGGTGCGAGGAAGATGAAAAATAGTCGTGAGATGGGGTTTCGGGGATGGAGGTGCATGAAAATGTGCTCCCGAGACTTGCGAACAATGAGAGCCCTATCGCTGGTTCGTTCCATTCTTCACAGATTGGCAAAAACCATTGATTGTTAGGAAACTCTCTCCGGAGCTAGTCTGCGGAGGGTCCCAATGCGTCAACGCCAATGTCGAATGGAGGCACGATTGCTGTTGAAAGAGAGTAAGTGCACCATGCAACAGCTTAGAGATTTCGCCTCCAACGGGCAGAAACCTTGGCGTCGCCGTCGTGATGAGGGTCCACGTCTGATGTTTTAGGTGCTTATCTGCACCAGATAATACCTGCAGAAATAATTTAGTCTTGGTGTTGGACTCAATGCGGGTCTGTAGGGCTGTGACAGGTGTCGTTCATGACTCGCGATCACGATCGTTTCAATCTTCTTCGTGGGCATGGCATGGAAGGGGCCAAGGATAGCTAGCAAAGCTTTGCTGCGCTGCGCTACCTACGGTGGAGTCCTAGGTGGTGGACCTAGCTAGATCATTGTCTTTCTTCCTCATGATGTTGAAACTCCAGCTGGGAGGAAAGAAGGGCTTTCAAGTAACTGGACGTCATGCCAGTAGAGCTGGGTCGTACGAGAAAAAGTGGCTAGCCGATGGCCTGTTATGACTGGCCAACGCGAAGGTCACTGAGCGTGTCGATTGCTACTGACGCCCTACGCCTGGTCAGGGTCCGAGCTATCGACGTTCCGGGAACCGAGCTACAGCGAGTCCAGTGATGAGGAGGATCGCAGGCCGGGCAGGTTTTTCACTGCGCTTGGAGCACCAGGTAATAATGACAATCCACTGGGCTCGTGAGCAGTCAAGGTTGAATGTTGGGAGGCACGGGTAGAGGGAGAATTTCTACTAAAGACCAGGGGAGTCGAAGACTTGCGCAGATCATGCAATTTCTTGGGGATCGCTGGCCCGCTGCATGCTATCCGTCCCGCAACACGGACCTGATTGTCGATGGGAACTCAGAAGCGACATGGACCAAGGCCTGCAGATAGCCTAGGAAATCAGATGGCCGAGGCATTTCCACGTCTCTTGGAACGTCTCTTCGTATATATCTTCTTAGGTTTTTCGTACGCGGCTATGTTTTCGATCGAACGGACGAAGGCTCGTACAATGCAATGCCGCCGCATCACCAGCA